CGTTGGAAGCAAAGAAGAATGCTAAAAAAACAAGGACATTTGAAATCAGCCCTAGGACACGATGGCCCTCGAGACCAGAAGAACTAGATGGTGGCTGGCTACCAATGCCAACCACTCAGGAAAGGATCAAATCTGGATATCCTGGATAAAGTGGGAGGGAAAACGTGGGAAAAAATCCAAAAACTCAATAATGACCAGAATTACTGCTCAGATGGAGTATGATAAGACCCCTGATACTATGGCCCTGGAATACATTCTGCACCTGGAATAAAACTCACTCCCAGGGGCTGGCTCTCAGTCCAATAGTTAAGATGTACATGCAGACCTCTCAATCCAGGATAACGCTGTATGGTAATACATCCCTTAGAGCAACAGACCTTGGGGCACCAGAGGGGCAACATTCACATGGAAGAAATGCAGGACAAACAGGAGCACATAACTATGAGGGGTATGGAGGAAGGGTTACTGGGAAGGGAGGGGAGGAGATTGGGTTAGGGTTGGGCATGGTAAATGAGCAGTGAAACTCAATGCACATGTAACACTGAATGTAAAACAAGCTCTTAAAATTTAAAAAATGCTAAAAGAAAAAAAAAGACTGAAGCAGAATTGATGCATTTTAATTATGTTGTTAGTGAAGACTGGGCAATCTCCTTCCATAGTGATACCGCCTTGGAAACCCAAGGAGGGGTCTCTATGAGTCAGCACATAACAACAACAACAACAACAACAACATGGATTGCCAGAAGAATGAACAAATTTGTCTTGGAAAAAGTACAGCCAGAATGTTCCTTAGAAGCATGGATGGTGAGATTTCATCTCATGGAATTTGAATATGTGATCAAGAGGGACTAGTCCCTGGAGAAGAACATCATGTTTGGTAAAGTTGAGGGTCAGTAAAAAAAGGGGAAGACTCTCAACCAGATGGACTAACACAGTAGCTCCAACGATGGGCTCGAACATAGCAACAGTTGTGAGGATGGCACGGGACTGGGCAATGTTTCTTCTATTACAGGCGTTGTTGCTATTGTTTTCATGTGCTGTCAAGTCGTCTCTGACTCATAGCGACCCCATGCACAGCAGAATGAAACACTACCTGATCCCATGCCAGCTCCATGTTTCGTAATATACTTGAGACTATCGTCGCAGCCACCATGTCAATCTATCTCGTTGAAGGCCTTCCCCTCTTTCGTAGATGCTCCACCTTACAAAGAATGACATCTTTCTCCAGGGAATGGTACCTTCTGACAACATTAGCAAAGTAGGTGAGACAAAGTCTGGCATTCTCCCTTCCCAGGAGCATTTTGGCAGCACTTCCTCTATGACAGATTTGTTAGTTCTTTTAGCAGACCACGGTACTTTCTGTATTCTTTGCCAGCACCACAACTCTAAAGCATCAAATTCCAACTCTTCTTTGGTCTTCCTTATTCATTGTCTAGCTCTCACATGCATATGAGGCTATTGAAAATATGGCTTGTGTCAGGCACACCTTAGTCCTCAAGGCGACATCTTTGCTTCTCAGCACTTGAAAGAGATCCTTTGCAGCCAACTTGCCCAGTCTAATGTCCTGACTGCTGCTTCCGTTGTCATCGATTGAAGAACCAAGCAATGTGAAGTTTTTCATAACCTCAATCTTTTCTCCATTTATCATGATGCTGCTTATAGCTCCAATTGTGAGGATTATTTTTTTTCTTTATATTGAGATGTAATTCATACTTCAGAGTGTATTCTTCAATCTCCATCAGAAAGTGCCTCAAGTCATCCTCACTTTCAGCAAGCAAAGTTGTGTCGTCAGCATATTGCAGGTTGGTAATTCTTCATATAGTCCAGCTTCTTGGATTATTTGCTCAGCATATAAATTGAGTAGGTATGGGGAAAGGATACAACCCTGACACACACCCTTTTTGATTTTAAACCATGTAGTGTTCCCTTGTTCTATTTGAACGACAGCCTCCTGGTCAATGTACAGGTTCCTCATGAGTACAATTACGTGTTCTGTAATTCCCATTCCTCTCAATGTTATCTACAATTTGTTATGATTCACACAATCCAATGCCTTTTCATAATAAATAAAACACAAGTAAACATCTTTCTGGAATTCTTTGCCTTAAGCCGAGATCCATCTGACACCAGCTATGATGATATCTCTTGTTCCACGTCCTCTACTGAATCCAGCTTGCATCTCTGGAAGTTCTTTGTCAATATACTGCTGCAACCATTTTTGAAGTATCTTCAGTAAGATCTTACTTGCGTGTGATATTAAGGATATTGTTCTATAATTTCCACATTCTTTGGGTTCACCTTTCTTTGGAATGGATACAAATATGGATCTCTTCCAGTCAGTTGGCCAGGTAGCTGTCTTCCAAATCTCTTGGCATATCCGAGTGAGTGCCTCCAGTGGGGCATCCATTTGTTGTAATATCTCAATGGGTATTCTGTCAATTCCTGGAGCCTGTTCTTCACCAGTTCCTTCATTGCAGCTTTGACTTCCTCCTTCAGTATCACTGGTTCTTGATCATATGCCACCTCCTGAAATGGATAAAGATCTACCAGTTTTTTTTGGTACAGAGACTCTGCATATTCCTTCCAGTTATAGGTAGTGTCCCTTTAAGTCAGAATCAACTTGACAGCACTTAACATCTTTATAAATCATAACATTTAACATTTGAGGGTGAACATCTGTGAATGAGAACATCAGCAACATTTTTTTTGTAATACATAATATGGTAAGTTGTACTAAAAATAAACCAAGAAACAAAAAATAGACACTAGGTTTTAAGTGTGTTTCCTTATGACTTGAATACATGTTCATTGTAACTTGAATACATGGTAATTTGGAGACTACCTACAATTACCTCCAGGAAGTTGGTGGTTTCTGCCCTATGCCTGATCACCATTAAGCAGCAGAGACAGGATTCAAACCTTGTGTGCAAGGTGTATCCTTAAAGGTCAATGAAGCCCACTCTAGGGGCAAAAGCACACACTCTATAGTCCTATAGAAGTTTGAATCCTGGCTCTGCTACTTAGGAACCCATTCACTCCTCCTCTTAGCCATTTTCCTCACTTTTATTTATTTATAACTTTTTCCCTCTCTTTTTATGTATTCAGTTTTTAAAACTCTTTACTGTGATTTGGAATGAAGTTTACAGAGCAAATTCATTTGCCATTCAACAGTTCATGCACTTTTTGTTTTGTGATACTGATTGCAATTCCCAAAATTCAACAGCTTTCTTCCCACTTCCTCCCTGAGGTTACCTTTTCCCGTGTCCTTTTTTTTTCTATGCATTCCTTTCTTCTAAGCTTTATCCCTTCTGATTTCCCATAGTTCTAAGGAGTGCACCTCCTTCGTGCAAGTTTTCACCTCATAGGTCTGTCTATTGTTTAGTTGAAGGTTAAGCCACAGGAGTGAGTTTAATTCCAGGCCTGAAGGGCAACTAGGGCCATAGTCTCAGGGGTTTCACCAGTCTTTCTCAGACTGGTCTTTTTTTTTTTTTAATGATTTTGAGTTGAGTTTTGTTCCAGATTTTTCTCCTGCTCTATCCAGGATGTCCAATTTTGATCCCTGTCTGAGTGATTGGCAGTGGTAGCTGGGCACCATCTAGTTCTTCTGGTTTCAAATGCTGAGGTTCTCATGGTCCACTACTAGTTCCTTGTACTAATTGTTTCAGTGCATCTTTGACTTTCTTCACTCGTCTTTGGTCTGGACAAGGAGACCAAAAGTCATATCTTAGATGGCCACTTACAAGCTTTTATGACCCTAGTTGTTACTCACCAAAGTAACAACTTTTGTGTAGTATGTTATGCAATTTGAGCTTGATGTCTCCCATGACCATATTCCCAAGCCTCCAGGTCCAGCAACTCATTCACCACCCTTGAGGTGTGTGGTTATGGCTAAGAAGTTATCATAATCTTGCACCATTAACTCTTTTATATATGTGGACGTTTTTATAGTAAATATAAATATGCATATTGAAATATCATCAAATCTATATATGGTCATGGGCATATTCCCTTTTGCCTACCCATACTTGATCATCATGCCTGTCTACCTATGTATCCACCTGTAGATTGTTATTACTGATAATGCAGTATTTTGTATGCAATAGTATTTACCTTTGTTGTCTGTACTTCTTGTGCACCTCTCTGTGTCTTCCTTTTCCTTAGTGATTGTGCTGGTCATTGTTTTTGATATATTGCCTTTTCCTTCACCAAAATCAACTTGTCTCTTACCTAGATAGCAATTTTCCCTCCCTTCCTCTTTCATCTCTAGTAAGCAACATAGTTTCTTTCCATGTGTAAACTTTTCCTTGACTTTTTGTAATAGTGGACTCATACAGTATCTGTCCGTAATTGACTCACTTCATTCAGCATCATATCCTCCAAGTTTATTCACATCTTCATTATTCTTTGGTGTTGTGTGTATGTGCCATTGTTATCCATTCATCCACTGGAATTTCTTCATTTTTAAAATGTGAATGACAGTATTTTCTCTCTCTCTCTCAACATAGGATCACAGAGAGGATTCTGCATCAGGCGATGTACTTAGCAAGGAGCCTGAAAACGGTGATATTAAAAATATTAATATTCCTATGAGATGAGGTATATCCCTATTCTAGCCTAAGCTCAGAGATGTCAAGTGCCTTTCTAGAGTCACACGATTGAGCAGTCACGAGTGTGCAACGACCTACGGGCCAGCGTGTACACCCCCATGCAGTCACTTCCCATAGCCTCCGCCACCTCCTCCCGCCTTCCTCACACTCGGCGCTTAGGCCGGAAGCGTATTCGCGCTCCGGAAATGACTCACTATGCCAGAATCCAAGACGGCTAGCAGCCCTTTCACTGCAGTTTTCAATGGAGGAGAAGTGGGCACGAACCCGGAAGTTAACCGCTTAGCCTTAGCCGACCCTCGGAGGCGTGGCTTCCGGCATCGGGAGGCTGCCAGTCGAGTCCGTCTGGTCAAGTGGAGGCGGCATCTGACAGGCGTTACTCCCCTGACCACGACCGCTGCTACCGGGTGACACAGGCTGGCCACAAGCTCGTGCCCCAGGGTCCTGAGCCCGCTAGGCGCCAGGGCCGCGCCGGGGGATGGACGAGGGGAAGATGAACGAGAATGAATGGAGGTACCACGGCGAAGGCAATAAGAGTCTGGTAGTGGCCCACGCGCAGGTGAGGCTGCGAACGGTCAAGTCGGCTCTGAGGGGCACCTTACCCCGAGGCTCCGGGTCCGCGGGGGCTCCCTGCTGGCCGACCGGTTTCTTGTCTCCCTAGTCCCTCTCCTGCGCCAGTCCCCCGCTCCTCTAGTACCCTCATCCCGGGTCGGTTTCACGTTCCCTCAGCACCCCACCCCCACCCCCAGCTGGTCGGGTTCCGCGTCCCTCCAGCATCATACCCCCTATCCCCAGCCCGCTTCAGTCCCTCGTTCTTTGTAATCCACCCTTCCCCCGGATCAATTCTGCGTTCCCCCAGTATCATCTCCTCCCATGTCTGTTCTGCGTCCCCGCCCCCTCGACTCTAGGGTCGGTTCCACGTCCTCTCCGCTTCACTTCCCAGTCGTGTGGTCCCACAGCACCCTCACCCCAAGTCTCCAGCCCTGTCGGTGCAGCGCGCGGCCTCACGCGGTGTCATCTCGCTCCTGGCCAGCCAGACTGCGGAGCTGCAGTGGGGAGAGGCCAGGCTGGGATAGAGGGCTGGGACAGATAGTGGCTGAAGAAGCCATATGCTCGGGATGCTGTTTCTTCCCCAGCGCGGAAGGAGATCAGGTTGGTGAGACCCTTAGAATTGCTGATTTTTCTGTTGCTTAATAATGTAATTATTAAGCAATTAATAATTGGTAAAGAGCTTCAGAAACTGACTAATTTTAAGTAATGAGGACTCCTAAGGAGGTGAATTGAGGAAAAGAAGCTTATGGGTTTGTGTGAGGACCCAGATATTTTTGACATCACTTAATTCTGATACAACCATGCAGAAATGTGGCAGACTGAGGCAGGCGGGGATGGGTGCCATGTAGGGGTTAAGAGCCAGCAATTCAGAGGTAAGTAAATCTATCTGGTAGTTTCTTCTGTTCTGTACGATACCAATGAGTTGGAATTGACTGGACAGCAATGGGTATTGTATGTAGAACTGGGCAGAGGAGTTCTTGGGTGGTGCAAATGGTTAAGCTGCCCCACTATTAACTGAAAGTTTGGTGTCTGGAACCCCACCCCCACCCCCACCACCACCCCCCCGAGAGGTTCCTTGGAAGACAGGCCTGAAGATCTGCTTCTGGAAGATCACAGCCTTAAAAACCGTATGGAGCATTTCTACTCTGCACACATCAGGTCACCATGAATTGGAATAGACTGGAAGGCAATTAACAACAAAGCTGGGCAGAATCCTACTTCTACCACTGTCTGGCTGAGGATCAATTTCTGTATTCTTAAGAGTAGGACTAGGCGCTCTGGTGGCATAGTGCCTGAAGCATTTGACTGCTAACCAGAAGGCTGGTGGTTTGAACCCACCAGCCACTCCTCGGAAGGAAGATTTGGAAATCTACTTCCGTAGTGATACTGCCTCGGAAACCCAAGGAGGGGTCGCTATGAGTTGGATCCGACTCGACGGCAGGGCGAGGACTAGTGTTGGAACCCTCTTGGTGGGATGGCTGGAAAGATTAGTTGAACATGGAGCTGACAAGTTAAGGCTCAGTAAATGATAACTATTACGGCCCTTGGATCAATGAAGACAGCAGAGCTTGGAGAAGTTAACAGCCCTGACCCAGTCAAAGAGTTTGTAAGAGATGGTGCAGGTACTGGAGTCACACTTTCCCCCTGGCCCTGCCTGGCTTCTGTTGTAACTGTGATGGTAGTTTTAGGTGGGCCACAATGTTAGCTGCTATTATTCAGGCAGCCCCTTGTGTTGTGCCTTTGCCATTTGGTATGGTTAAAGCATTTGGCTGCTAACCAAAAGGTCGGCAGTTTGAACATTCCAGCCGCTCATCAGGAAAAAGTCTGCTTCTGTGAAGATTTATAGCCGTGGAAACCCTATGGGGCAGTTCTACTCTGCTCTGTAGGGTTGCTATGAGTCAGAATTGACTTGATGGCAGTGGGTTTGGTTTGGGTTTAGCACAGTTGGGAAACTAAAGACTGAAACTACATGCTTTGCTCGAGATCTTTAGTTGAATTACTAAAGAACATGAGTTAACTCAAAGCTGTCCTTTGCTGTGTCCTATTGTTTTTCAGGGTTGAATAAAGTGAGGGGCATTCTAGTATGAGTCCCTTTTGTGAACTGATTTGTGAATTCTTTCATAAAACAAACACTCATCTTCAAATTTCTTAATAAAATTGGATAGGATATCTCTGTATTTTTTTGTAAAACTAAACCAAAAATCAAGGAGCTCTGGTAGCATAGTGGCTAAAGCACTTGACTGCTAACCAGAGGGCTGGCGGTTCAAACCCACCAGCCACTCCTCAGAAGGAAGGTTGGGC